TATCATGTTAGGATGGTCGATGGCGTAGCCCATTGCAGGGCGCCATGCATTATTGCCAACGTAATTATATAGCTGGTCATGACGGGTCATCGCCGCGATGATATGATCTAGACATTTCTGTCATCAGCTAGTAAACCATGGATACGATCGATGGCAGTCTGACCCTAAGCATGCAAGTGGCGAACACAGACTAACCTTAGCGCTTGAAGAGCATGTACATGAGAGCCAATCCTTTGTTGATGGAATGTGTATCGAAAGATATGTTGTCGATATAGATCTTAGCTGTGGCAACTTGTCATAGCTGTATATTCATGACCAGGAATAAAGGTGCACCATCGAACAACAGTGAATCGCCCTTTCATACAAAGACCAGTCTTCAAGGTACTGACGGGATGGAACATCACAGCAGCAAACCCGCTCAACATGTTGCTGCAACTGTTAGTTTATTTCTCACCTTCGGTAAACTAGGCAAAAGGTCCATAGTTCCCTACGTACTCTAGCAATAATCTTAACTTGATTATTTCATTTGTATACCAACAACATAAGGAACGCCCTTCTAACCATCGGTATACACAGTCATAAATAGTCAGTAATGCTACATTAATAATAACTTAACGAATAGCAATCGCTTTCGCAATCTGAACGACCCTTGATACTGATAAGACATACTTAAAAATAATTTTAGTTTCGTTTCTGTGAAATCGTATCCGCGCTGTCTCCTCTGCTCACAATGGTGACTCCGTGACTAACTGGTATCTGTCACTTTTGCGTACATCTCCGGCATACCTCCCCGCTTTCCAAACGAATCCGAAATAGCAGGCCAAACAAATACTACACCGACCGGCCGAAGTTCACGGGGACAGCGAAAAATTTAATATGGGCAAGCGAATTGCTAACATTATTCTAGACTCGGTTTTCTTCTGCCAAAGCCCAGACACTAGCACTGTATTGCGAACATTCGAGAGACTCTCTGAAGCTGCGATACTGACGACAGGAAAGAACGAAGGAGTCATCAAAACTGACTGACTCAATGATCAAATAAAGTTGTAACCGAAATAACTATAACTGAGGTATTCATCTAAATGCTACTGAGTGCAACAAAACAGAACGCTGTATAAAAACAAATTAATAAAGTAGACATAATATACAACGGAAAACTGAATAACGACATCAGCTTTGACAGAACAGTCACGAAATGGTTAGCTTGACGTTTCACCGCTGCTATCACCGTTAGGTTTGTAGTCCTTGGTTCGTTTCTTCTTGTTCGAAGTTTCTTTCTCTTTCTTCTTACGCTTTGCCTTCTTCTCCTTTTTTTCTTTCTTTTCTTTTTTGTGCGACGACGCTTTTCCTCGTTTCGAACGGCGTTCTTCTTCGCTATTGTCAGTACCCTCCTTCCTCGGACTGAATGTCGGTGCAGGAACAACTGGTGATGTGTCCATTGATTCCTTTTCTGACGCATCGTCATAGCTGGAAGCCAGAGATGCCATGCGTGACCTCTTTGCTGGACTCACGTCAAAAGCGTCGCGTTTGGTGGATGACTTTGTAGGTGACCGATGTCCAAATTTAGGTCTTTCAACCACCATTTCGTCTTTCGGTGAAGATAGCTTAGAAGCACACTTTTCCGTAATTTCCTCACCAGTCTCTGTTT